GAACAAGCCAAGACTGCAAAATGATTCGCCTCCTGAGGCTGCAGATGTTTAGAGACATTTACGCACCTCTTCAAAAGAGAATGATCTGCTGCCTGTCCTTTGCAATGGCAACCTCACAAAGGATGGTCCTTGCTTTAGACCACCCCAATGTGATCCTTGCAATGGCAGAGGGTCAGACTAGATGACACTTGGGGGTCCCTTCCAACTGTACGATTCTGTGCTGGGACTCTGGATCCAGGTGTAGCCAACCTTACAGCACACTAATTGAAATCAATGGGGATTAAGTGAGTGGTAACTAATGCAAAAGCTCTCACGGGGCTTTTTTGGCAAGATGTGTTCAGAGGGAGGTTGCCTTTGCCCTGAGGCTGAGAGAGCGTGACTTGCCCAAGGCCACCCAGCAGGTTTCCATGGTTGAGTAAGGATTCGAACCATAGTCTCCAGAGTCATAGTCCAATGTGCAAACCACAACGCCACAAAGCTGGTCTCTCTGAGCTGCATAGCATAAGTCTCCACATTTGGAAACCCATCAGTTTGATATTAAAGGGATGGTTTAGGCAGGTGGGCAAGAAGGCACCTCCATTGCAGGAGAACTAGCCATGCCATATCAAGACCATATGTGGAGATGCTGATGGCTCAGCATGGGGGAAACCCAAGGGTTCTTAGCCAGGATAGATCAATTAAGATCAGGATCTGCATAATCCCTTCCCTGATAGGAGGGATGGTGGGTGATAGACCTTGGGTGATAGACGCACGAACAGAAGTCCAAGATGACCTCCCGCTGGGAGTGAGACTCCTTGGCAAGGGACATTCATGCTGATTGTCACAGACTTCCAGTTCTATTCTCTCTGGGAACTTCATCTTAGTCCGAAAAGTGGCCTGACGGGATGCATTTTGGCCTATAAATATACCTGCTCATCCACTACCAAGGTCAGACAGACACTCTGCCTGCATCTCACCTGACTCCTCACCATTTGCTGGCAGCTGTGCAGCCATTTCACTTCACAGAAACCCTCAGCTGGAACCTCTGCTTCTGGAATCAGGAACAGTATCACCTTTACAGTCCCCAAAACCACTGTCTGCTATGACCTTTCATATCACTAGTTTTGAATGTGTGTGTGAGTGTGTGCTTTTGTGGTAGAATTCAAAGATATAGCCGTGTTAGTCTGTAAAAGCAATATGTAGAGAGATCTTGTGGCACCTTTGAGACTACTGAAAGAAAGACGTTGGCAGCATGAGCTTTCACAGACTTAAGTCTACTTCCTCAGATGCGTTTGGTGGAGTGGAAAGCCAGGGACAGACATATGTATGCCATTGGTATGTGAAAATGTCAATTCAAAATCCTTTGTGTATGGAAATGAGGTGGCAAGTCCAGTTTTAACCATGGTTGGTGGTGGACAAAGGCAGTGGAAGCTGTAGTCTACAGATGAGGAGAATGGACGACTGAGAAACAGAGTATGTTCTTGTGTGGAAGAAGCTGGTTTCCCTTTTGCTGTTATAAATAAAGCTACAGTTGGACCTTGCATTCTGGAGTTCTGCTTCTCTGAACCCATATACACACACAGGCTTGACCCCTGCTTTTACTGGAGT